AAAGCTAGGTGAATATCCAAAGGACCTGGCAATTGATGTAGTAAAATGGTTCATCACGAAAGGCTTTGAAGCATAGAGCGAATGAATTCAGCTGAACGATCGTCTTTTGTTTTTTGCATCTGTTGTGACTCAATTGATCCAGTCGATGTACATTGCCATTTGTAGCAAGTGGGATCGAGTGGATCGACTTGAGCACGACAGAACGAAGAAATCCACATAGTGTTTATTTCGAACTTGACTCAGTTGGGAACAAGATCTCATTTGATTCGAGCTTTTCACATCACCATTGTGCATTGAGTGCCAATAGGTTGCAGTCGCTAAATTCCATAAATTGGATACAATTCAAATCTTTGCAAGTGTTCTTGAAGCCATGGCCCCAAAGTCCAAGATCACGATCACAGTGGATGCACCAAGTGACACGGAAGTTCATGTGACCGTGAGCCCTGGGCAGGCGGCTGAGGATTCGGGAGCAGGGACCTCGACAGATGTTCGGGCCAAAGGAGGTTCAAAAGGGAAATCCAAGAGCCAGGTTGATGGAGAGCACTCGAAGGATGGCAAGATGGATCATGATGATTCTCTGAGTGAAGGGGATTGGGAAGAAGTCAAAGCAGAGCCTTCACCTTCGTCACCGATCCCACCGAGTGATTCGCCGCCAGAACCGCACCCTCCTTCGCATTCCCCGCCAGATGCTCAGGAACTACCTGAATTTCGCTACAAGATCACGAGGAAGGCAGGAGAGCGTGTGCATCGTGAGTCATGCCGGATGCTCAAACATCACGGGGAGCATCAAGTGATTTTGCCCTCGTTGTGCCAGACTTGTATGCCGGCAGGTTTTTTGTCTCAGGAGACACGAGTTGGATTCAGTTTTGAATTTCCATCTCATCTCCACATCGTTGGCGAACATAGTCGGCCTTCTTGCATCCCAAGGTGCGACAAGATTTTGAAGCCTTGCCGGCAGTGCATCTTCATCCCATAGCCCAAGACTTGAAGGATTTGGTTAAAAGAAGAGTTTGAAGCTTTGAGATTTGACCCCAAAAAGAAAAATAACCTTCTCTCGTTTCGAACATTTTCATTGTATATCTTTAAGCTTGGCGAAATGTGATGCTTGGATCTCCTCACAAATTGATAAATGCACGATGTTTCAAGCCAAAGAAGCAGACATGCACTCAGAGGAAAATTCAACGCTTGTATCGAATAGTCGACTTGCAGAGTAAGGTTTCAATGCATGATATTTCAGCGTTTTTGTGCACAGGTTTTCATGACACAGTTCATCACACATCCGTTTACAACATACACTGGAATAGCTCTCGAAAAAAGCATAGTGCAGGTCTTTTCAGAAGAGCCAGAGTTCGGATGTGCCGAAATCGTGATCCCAACACCGGGTTTGGGAGAATATGAAATGAATGTGCCGAGAGATGTCTTGATGATTGCTATCCACAAAGTGCAAGTCCCACCTTTGGTTCAGGGGGGGTGTGAATAGTTGACACCTGAATGGACCTCTTGACAACCAAAAGGGTTCTTGCATTTACTCGTGTATCTATAGACACATATAAGGCATATTCACTTGAAATGCACCGGTTATTGCCTTGTTACTGTGGTAGTTTCCTAACCCTACCCGCATCACCAGCCAACCCATCTTGGCAGCCTCCACCTTGACGCCTGGTGCACTTTTGTCCGCAGGCTGTGGATTCACGAATCCACTTTTGGCCGACTAGTCATGTGCCCCGAGTGCACAAATCGAGTGTGTACCACATCCCAACCAGAGAGGAGCATGGACCCTGCACAAGGGATGACACGCATTCGAGACTTCGACATGCCATCGTGGCATGGCTCAAGCGCGACAAAAGTGTCGCGCACCGGGAAGCTGGGCGGTGGGAAGACGTCGCGTGCCGACACCGACGAGGGTTCGAGAAGTGTACCAAGTTTTGCATTTTGTTTTTCTTGGGGCTTGACAACTTGTTCAACTTGTGGTTTGAAGTTTCATAGGAGATGGTGGTGGTGATGAAGGTTCACAAACCATCGCGCAGGCTTTGCTTGGATCTCCAAGAACCAACCACCCAGCAAAAGTGAACATCCTTCAAGTTTTTGGTAGGGGATTGGGGACACCCCGCCACAACAGGAACAGTTTGCTTGTCCAGTGATCTACAGTATCTCTAGCATAGTTGTCAAAGCAGTGAGGCCATCAATCTCTACACGTCCATCAAAGTGAACGTGCCTCATCTGGTCCACGAGCTCAGTAGCCCGGGTTGGATATTCCGTTTCCCAAGGGTTGTGTGAGGGTCAGAGGGTATGAGACATCACAAAGCAATGAGTCAATGAGTGTTTTGCGAATGACTGCATCATACTTTACAGAATCATTGTGTTTCAACTGTGCTGTTCAAATCCTCCCACATGAATAGACACCTGTGCTACAAGCATACTTTTCCTGTGGAAGATTGACCAGATGTCAATTTTACAGGACAAATCCCACGTTGTGTTGGCGGTCATTGATGGACCATTTTTTTTGCACCTTTACCACCTTGTGACCAGACATGGTACAGCTTGATCGACTGGCCCCATCCATCTCCGGAGAAAAAACTCTGCGGCAGGGCGAATTTTCCCTCTTCCCAAGTTGGGTCTTCCATTCAGAATGGTCATGACGCTGTTACAGCTAGATGCCCCAGTTTCTGAGAACGCCTTCCTCGTGGGTTCCACACTCTTCAAAAATTGGGTGGGTGTGGTGGTGGTGGTGCCCTTCGTCAAGACCGCACCCTCCGCATCGTCCCACCCTCACCAAGGCGAAGGCCTTCGCGGTCTTGGCGCTGGATACGGAGACGCTTGGGCTGGGCATGCGTGGTTTGGAGGTTGAGAGATGGTTCTTTGGACAAAGAGTGGAAACCTGGAAACCATTGAACTCTCATGAAAAAATCATCATTTCAGAGGTCATTTCAGGATTTTCAGGTATCGGTATATGGGCATCCAACAGCATCCCACTCACGATCCACAATCATTTATTTACTGGAATCCATTAGTTCCAGATCGTGCTCAAAAGACCATGCGGGTGAGAAATCATTTTGCTAGGTTTGGTTTTGAGTTAGGAATTTCACTGAAGTATTTCGTAGATCAACCTTGTGATTTCACCCAAATGTCACACGTAATCCTGCTTGTGGTGGACGTTTTTTTACATCGACACATGAGTTTAGGAGGAGACGACGGAGAGGATTCCTCTAGGTATGGGTAGTAGTCGAAGCTCCCGCTTTCGTAAGCTCTAGGCACACGAGATAGGAGTCGCTGAATGGGTAGAGGTGTCTTTGTTATTGTTGCTCTATCTCTCTCTCTCTCTCTATTAGGTTGGATTGGAGGCCAACGCTCGTAGGTTGGAGGCCATCGCTATTAGGCTACCCCTCTCCCTCTTTGTTGTAAGTGGGCCGACGAGTCTAGGGCACTCTTCGACCTGTTTCCCGGGTCATTCCAGGGGTGAGGACAGAGTGCTTGTTGGCCGTGGACTTCATCAAAAGTCAGGGTGGGGTTGCCAGTTCCACAGGTCAAAGCGATTCAAAGCTGTTCACTGTTCACGAATGATCTTTTGGGGAGGGTGGACTACCTCCCAAATCCATGGCCTCAGCTCCCAAAGACCCCCCATATCACCATATATCACCTGGGAAATGAAGGGGGTCACAATGGGACCGTGGTGTTCCTTGATGAGGAGTCTCCTCCGCTTCGTTTGGCCACAGCATCCGAGGACCGAAGAGGTCTTGCGTTGGCACGGCCTCACCACGTGGCTCTACGCGGCGACCTCAGACCGACGTCGGTGTGACGGGTCAGGCGACGCACTTGCGGGTGACCTGACGCTGGGAGTTCATGTTTGGCCTCCACCATCTAATTATCTCATGACTCATGACATACTCCCATCACCCTGGGAGATACTTGATGCCGGCACTGCGTCCTGCCTGCCTCTTTGGTGCTCCCCGCGCGCCGCGCGCCGCGAGCCGCGGCGGATCAGGAGACGGTGGACATTTTCATGACACGCTGGCGAGTCGCCCCAGTGGAGTCGGGAGGAAGGGTTTGAGCCCCAAATGGGCCAGGAAGTGTGTGTTGGCTTGCCCAATTAAGTCTCCCTTCTTCTACGGAATTCGGCTTTGTATGGCTTCGATCCTTCGTTATTGTCCTCCAACATCAGAGTTCAGACGCTTGGAGGAGGTGAGAAATAACAATAATTGGAATGGCTGAATTCTGAAATCGCTTGAATTCGTTTTAGGTGCGCAAGCCATGGTGAGGAAGAAGACTTTCTGATCTTTCTGGAAGGATCACTGACTCTAAAGACTTGGAACACAGTGCTCAGCTGACAGATATGATCAACTTGACTTTAGCTCACTTGGGATTAGATGATTCCAAGAAGATCAAGAAGTGATTGCCAGTCAGGCCAATCATTATCCCTTTTTAAAGAGTTGATCACTTGGAATTACCAGGTCATCGCAGCCGGTTGGTCATCCCGGGTTTTCTTCTCCCTATGTCTCATCTCGCGTGGCGGCGGGCTCGGCCCCAGGCGTTGCTTAGCCGGTTTGCTAAACTTGGGCCTCAACGTCCTGCTGACGGACACGGCCCGGGAACCACTTCCTCGGGGCGCGGCGAGAGAGGTCTTTTTTTCTGGTGCAACGAGAGGTGTGTTCACCACATGTGATCGGCGGCCGGAGCGGCTCCTATGTGAGCGGCTCCTAGGTACAAGCAGGTGAAAGCTGAACCCAGGCATATTCCAGATGGTGATGCTTAGTGATCCATTTAGGGGACAGACCAACAGTGGAAGAACTGGGTAAGCCTGTAAGCGTCTCGTGTGTGTGGGAAAGTCCTGCTCCCTTTATTCAGGGCTTAAGACGCTGACGGCGTCAGAAGCGAAAGCACCAGGATTGAAATTGGATCCTTCTCATGACGCTTCACGCGAAAGTGATCCCATGCGTCGTGTTATGTGGGGGGGCGCTCGTGGACGCTCGGGGAGCGCTCGCCGACGCTCGGGGAACGCCAGGATGTGGTGTTCTTGTCGGATCCATTTCCGCACTTTTGGATGGATGCTGACATGGAGGCCAGTCAGATGTCAGGTCACGGCAGGAAAAAACGGGATGAGTTGGTCTTGGTTTTTTTCGTTGGGCATGCGTTCTGGTTTGGAGGTAAAACTCTTTCTCATGAATTTCACCGAATTCCATCGGATGGACCAAATAGATACTCCTTACGGATTCACATACTCTTTGAGAAGGTGATGTGTTCGACACTGCTATGTAGGTTTGGAGGGTCCATGGAGTCCAGTTGTACCGAACCTGAGGTTTTTGTACGACTGGATCCCTTTCAGACTTTGTCAGATGCTCATATCCAAACCCACCTGTGAGTCTGTGAGCCACTTTGTATCATGTCCTTCTTGTGAAGACCATCGCAATCCTTTTGGATTCAGATCTTGATTCTTCGTGTCGGGTCTGCAACAGATCCATCTTTCCCCGTTCTCAAAAAGAGCAAAGACAAAGTGAAAGTGACCTCCCACAATAAAGATGAAAAGTGTATCCATGCAGCATTGTGCCCACCCTAAGAATCTGGGCCCTCAAACAGATAGGGTTTGGTTCGGGCCCCACCCCTGTTTCGGTGTCGGGTCCGACCCCTGCCATGGAGAGCCCAAGGATTCTTACGGCAGATATGTTGTTCTATCTTTTTGGTCATACCTGGACCCTCCAAGGGGTGTCCAATGGACTACCCCACACTACCTATAGGCTTCCATTGGGCACCCCTTAGAGGGTCCTGGTATGTGAGTCAATTGCATTTCATCGCCCTCGAATCGTGCCTTCTCCAAGAGCCAATCGCCCCTCAGAAGGGCCAAGGTTTGCTATGCTGGGAGGTCCTAAAAGCCACACGAAGAGAAGGGATCACCTATAGATATAGGATCAATATAGGAGGTCTAACATGGTCTAACAACTCGGTGGTCAAACTGGGGTTCACTGAGACTTCAGCTTTTGAGATGTATTCGGAAAGAAAAAGGTCCTTCTCCAAGAATCATGATCCAAATCGCAACAAAATCCCTCAACCCCACAACTCGGATTTGGCACCCGTCGGGATCAGGGTCATGACGGATCACCTCTTTCCGGAAAGGGATCTCTGGGATCCACGATGGAGAGACGAGGAGATTCCGCCGGAAGCGAGCGCGTGGGCCGCGCGGAGGATCTCCGCACGGCCGGGGAGGCCGGTCGGTGACGGGGCCGACGCTTCCGGAGACGGTGTTGTTGGCCGATGGGGTTTGGACCCGAAGGTCGCACGGTGAAGACGGGCGGTGAAAGGTCCTCGACCCAGCAAACGGGGCGCTGTTTGCTTGTTCAAAGCCCTCGAGTTCGTGGAAGAACAATGAAGAACATATAGCAACTTGATTCTGATCAACTCTTCTTTGGAGACACCATATTGTGGTCATGAAATGTCATGAATCTCATGCAGAACCAACACTCAAAGAGTGTTGGAGAGGCACCATAGGTGTTGGCTCTCCATGTGATGATTTTGGTGCTCCAGCGGCTTCCAGTGAGACTCTCTCGAATTTGGGGGGGGCAAACCTCCACCGTCTCCACTCATCGGTGTCGGCCATGACGTCCTTTTTGATGCCTTTTTGACGCGGAACGTGCCCAACAAAAACCTCCCTCCCTCGCCCGCCACTGCCACCGCCGCTGTTTCCGGGTCACGGCTGCGTCGTCCCGCCGCAATGAGTCCACCCCAAATCGTTTGCAGATGAAAAGAGGAGCAGATGAGTCACGCCCCAACGAGTCAGACGGGTGACCCGTGACAACGCCATGAGAGGCGCGATGGCTCGGTGGATCATGGCCCATCATGGCTAGCCGACCATGTGTTTCATGCATCCATTAGGTAGCCCCATGAGCGTCAGGCAAGCTGTGCCTTAAGAACGAGACATTCATGCGAAAAAGATAGACCTCTCTGGACCTGTCATCGACGAAGCTGCTCCCGTCCGTTGTGCGGGGTCTGTAAGTACCACAGGGGCAGATGGGTTACCACAGGGCCTCGTTAGCTCAGATCGCACAGCTTCCTCCCCTCGTGCTGCCAACATGGAGTGAAGAGAGGGGCAGAGGCGGCTTTGGAGTGATGCCACTTGGCTGTGCTTCACAAGTGTTCACACCCAGACACGACCTGTCTGGGACTGCCATAGGACTGCCGATCAGTTGGGGTGGTTGACGGGAGGTCAAATGGCTGTCCCATGGAGTGTTTGGGACATGTCTTCACATACTGTTCAATCTGTTCATCCCTGCACAAGATTCCTTGCACTCTCCATGGTCCGTGCTTGTCCCACTCCTCCTAGCTCCTAGCTCCCCCGGCCTATATAGGAAGCCCAATGCCCGATCGGGCGGGGGGTGCAAACACACCATGAACCATGGCACCATCGCACCCGTTCTGAACGGCCGCGCGCATCGAAGTCGGCGGCATCGGGGCGATGAGGCCGCTAGACCGGCGAGTCTCTCGATGTCTAGGCTCGATGTTTGGTTGCTTTGGTGGGTTCAGAGAGGCGCATGTACAACCTACAACGGTCCGATAGGTCAAGGGGAAAGCAAACTCACTGACCCCTTCTATTCCTAAAAGGAGCTCATTGCATACACCTCTTTCTGGCCACATTGGCCGACGTCCCAAGGCTCTCCTTGTCGTATCCTCTCCGGAAGCCTTGCTCCGGCGACGTGGGAGGCCCTGCCGTGTTGGTGTTCGACGTTGACTAGCTAGATCCTTGACAGAGTGCAGCAAGACACGAGAAAAATGTAGAAAAATGGTTCGGTTCCTATATCAAATGGTCGAGAATGAGCAACTCTGATAACATCATGATAAGCTTCTTAGGAAAAAAACACGCTGCAATCTCGCCTTCAGGTCCGCAGGCCGCCTTCAAAGTGGGGCGCCACTCGGGCCGACCTCACCCGCCCCAGCCGCACGCGCCGCCGGAACTGCCGCCGCCCGCACCGACGGAGCTCCCGCCGCCGCGGCTCGCGGCCGCCGCCGCCACGACGGCCGCGGGCCGCGCGTCGTCCGCGGGCGGCTCACGGCGAAGCCAGTCGAAGCCGCGGTCGACGAGCGCGCGGAGCAGCTCGATGCCGCAGTCACTTGGCGCTCGAGTTTTTGTGTGCGCTGCCTAGGGCAGCACACAGGCACTGGCACTAGCACCATCCGCTTATCTGGTTGAGCATGTAGGGAATGATGAACAATGCTAGTAGCGGAAATGAAGATTCTCCCATGCTACTAGCACCAGTATAGTCCTTTGCTGCTGTCATCCTGCACTACCTCAGATGATATGCTAGCTGCTGGACATGCCCACTGCAGTGGGTTCCCCTTGTTGTTCGCCGCTGGAACAGGGTGTGCCCATGGGTCGCAGTGTGGTAAGGTTGATGATTTCCTAAGACAGGAGTCCGAGGGTGTTTTGGCCGTCGAAATCGATCTGAGGTTGAGCTCTCTTGGATCTCTTCCTTCAGCAATCACATCAGTCAGGAGCCCATGCCAGAAGAAGCTGTGGTCCATTGGTCCATTGGAACGTGGAAAACATCCAGTCGTTTCCATGTCGGGGCGCTTTCATCTGAGTCTTCCCATTCCTAGGAGACCCCCGCAAATCAGAGGATCAGTGTTCATTCACTGAGTATACTCCCGAAATCTAACATAGACCCTGACAATGACCTGCTGGAAGCTGGTTGTCTACCAAGCAGTGGTTAGTTTCCAGGTTCCCTGCGGATCGTCGCCACCAGGGTGTCTCCATCAGACCTTCTTCAGACCTCCATTCCGAAGATCGTTGTTCGCTGCGGATATGGAGGATCCACATCGTTCGTTCTTCGTCTCTTCTCGTTCGATCGGACGATGTGTGGGGAAAAGGGACCCTCGGCGTCGTCGGCTTCTTCGGAACCGCCCGATCCGGGATCGGCTGGCCTGGCTGCCAGGAGTCTTCCGTCATCACTGCCTTCCGAGGCGAGTGGCAAGATGTGAAAGGGAGATCGGTGGACCTGGTGGACCTCGGGGGGTGGACCTAGTGGCAATGCTGTTTGCCGTGCAAGTCACTGCTTTGGTTTGTGCAGGTGTTGCGTGCAGCAACATCCATCCAATCATCCTGACCTGGGACCTCCTAGGGACACAAGATGACTCCAAGATGACACAGATGAGCGAAAATCTCGGTTTCCTGGAGCCATGAACAAGCTTGCGCAGCGAAGTCTTCGCAAGTCTTTGGTCTTTGGTAGAGGACGTAATCATTATCCAGGTGGCTATGTGGGGTGAGGGTCCCAAGCTAGGTTCCACGTTTTGTCTTCCGCAGTGTGTATGTGTATCGCCTATAGATTCGACCACCTTGGACCCGGCAACCCACCTGAGTGTTCAAGAGACCCTGGCACCTTCTGAACATCACACACGGTTTCTCAGAAAATACCCCCGCGGTCGTTGCGTCAGGGTTGGGGCTGCCGAAAACGGCACGAAAACGGCCGTAAAGGCTGTAAGATGGTGCAATGTGGCCAGCGACCAAACGGATGAAAAAGCGACCAAACTCAAAGATTGCATTGCACAACCAGTGAAGACCACCTCGCCTTCACAGGCTTTATGAGCTCTGCTATAAGTTCTCCTTTTCCAGAATAAACGCTTCATGTTTCAACCATTGGGTAGAGATTATCTGGTGCAGTCCTGGAAGATGTTGCTCATGAATCCACTCGCACCCCGCCGATGCGACCATCTTCCGTTCACTTGGATCTGAAACATCTTTTTTCAGCGGCCGGCTCGTACAAACAAGAAACAACTAGACCACGGATGGCCCGAGAACATTTAGGTTACAACGGTTGGATCACTTTGGCAACTCTTGTTCGATTCCAGCGGTTACACACTTTGGGCAACTTCCCCCCTTCGTTTTCGACGACAGTTATACACTTTAGACGTTGGCAACGCCCACCTTGTTCGACGGACGGTTCCACACTGCGGCCACCGATTTGCGACGAAATGTGCATTTCGCACTCGACGCAGAGGGTGACACCGTGGATACCGCAGCCACTCGCAACATTCCCGGCTGCGTGCGAAAGGGCTGCGTTTCGTCCACGACTCGTGGCCACTGCCCCCGGCCTCAGAGAGAAAGATAACACTTACGAAAAGAGAAGAGAAAAGACAGGGAAGAAGAGAGAGAGAGAGAGATGCAGATGATGATGATGATGATGACCCTCATGTTTTGGCCTGTCTTTTAGAAGAACCCTTCGCTCAGATGCCCGCCGGAAAAAACCTGCGCCACAAACATCGTATGAAACATTGCGGTCTTGAGAAGCACTGTGCTAACCAGCTATGAATGTGGATGTGTAGAGGAAAATGTTGGCGAATACCACCGAATACCTGACAAGAACGGACCAAAATGCCAATACAAAAAACAATAATTACTGAAAACATCTGAAAACTGAAGAGGTTCAAGTAACTTAAATCAGCCACATCACTCCTGGACTCTCACCATCACCCGACTGCCTTTTTGCGGCGTTCGCCACAGGCGCGCCGATCCTCGGCGAGGTCCACGGTGCTGGATTTGGAGCTCATGTTGGAGCGCGAGAAGCGCGAAGCCCTGGAGAGGCCGGGCACCCGCGTGGAGTTGGAGGAAAAGGACTGCGTGGAGTTGGTCCAGAAGTGCCTGGTTTTCACCAGTTGCGTCTCACGACTTTGGCAGTTTTGAAACTCTATACATATACACATATACAATCATATAATACATACTACAGTGATCTGTATAGTGTATAGACCAAGGTGGTAAAGTCATGTAAACCCACTGTTTCAGAAGATTTCCCTCTTTTACCCGGTGCTTCAAGGGGCTTCCAAGATCGGCACATGAAAAAACCTGGTCTTCCGCTCGCTCAGGGAGTTGGCCCAGCTCAAAGAGCAGCTGGCACAGCTAACGCTGGCGCAACAGATGAGCAGCGCTGGGAAGAAAAGGTAACTTTTTCACGACTGACGGGTGACGTTTGGAGCAGCTTGGCGTTTGGTGACCTCAAAAAGTCAAGAGGCGTTTGGGATTCAGCAAGGTTTGCTCGTTGGCGAGGCTGCATTAATTTGGTTTGAGGCAACCCCTGGCTAGTGGTTTAGGGAACGCAGGAACGCTTGAACTTGGCAATGCGTTCCTCATGTCAGATGCGTTTCCACAGTCAGTTTCGAAGTTCAACTTGGCAAGTTCAGTATCTTTGTTCCTCATGTCGGATCAGTCTGGTTTCTGGAGGCCTTTGCGGTCGACCGGTGTGCGAACCGGTCGAGGTTGCGCTTCGGTGCCGGTTCGGGTGTTCCATCGGTTCCAGAAATCGGTGTTCCGGATGAGAGAATGGAACCGCCGGTCTTAGGGAGTTCTTTCCATTCGGATAGATGAGGAGTTTTCCGTCCACCTCCACAGGCAGTTTGCTGGTTGATGATGTTCTAGAAAGGGTTTATTTCTCATATCCATAGTTGAGGAGTGAGGATGTACTCCAAATGTCTGAGCACGGACATGAACAGACTGTTGGACCAAAGTCTTGCACTGGAAACCCGAGCTCGGAAGCTGCTGCTGCTGCTGTTCCACCCAGCGAGGAGCACGTGAACACGGGCTTCATGTTTGCCCGAGCATCCCATCGATCGCTTCAGCTGGTCCATCGACCTCAGAACCGGCGGACGTGGGCTGGAAGGGCGAAACCGGCTCACCCGTGGGGAGTGGTGGTCACTTCTGGTGCCATGTCAGCCCAGGTAGCTCATCACAAAAGCAGCCTCTCCTACGCGTGGGGTGCACACCACGCGTGCAGGGGTGGGTTTTCGTGCAGAAATGTGGCTCATGAGGCTGTGTGAAGCACCGAGAGCATGATGACCACACGGGTAGAACATGGAACCAGAACACGGTGTGTTCTTTCCTATGTTCTTTTGGGACCACTCAAATCATTGCTGGGGGTCCATGTACATTGTATACTATATATATTATATGTCTCCAGTCAGGTGGAGATGGAGATGGAGTCAGGAAGTTTCGCTCCTTCTTTGGACAGCGGGGCCATCCTTTTCGATCCTTTCCACTGCCTGCACCTTCGATCCTTTGAAGGGATGAGGAGCTCCGTCCGCCGCGATACGTGCGATGTTTCGTGTGTATCAGCACAAGCAAAGACATTAAGCCTTATCAAGCCCGACCCCTCGTGACTGAGAAGATGCAGCTGCATTGTCCCTTTGTTTGCACAGCATATACTCTTGGTGATGCCCAGAGTCTCCCAACCTGGAGCAGACGAAGCAGCAAAGTAGCAGACCTGCAGCGACGAAAAATCCGTGCGATTTGTGACGTGAGAGATTCCAAGGTTCATGACTTCATCCGTGCTCATCATTCACCCTGGGATGCACAGGCCGCTTTGGGGGGTTGCCGGCAGGTGATGTGTCCAGAAGGAGGAGTATGAGTTGCGCTGGATCGGTGAGAGGTTGAAACAAACAGGTACCCAGGTGAATTCCATCAAAACAGCGGACACATTGCATGTAAAGAAACCCATTGGACCGCACATTGCAGGGTGGCTGAGAGAAATAATGGATCCAATAGAATCTCTGGGGGTGAAACTTCCCTTATTCCCTACGAGTCGCACCAGTCAGCCGTCGTTTTGCCGTCTTGCTCGTCCGTCTGGTCTGGTCTTGGTCTGCGGTTCACCCCGCGCCATCGATCCTCAAAGTCGACGGGACGGGCCAAGAGGCGGCTGAAGCAATCCCAAGTGGTGGCTCAAACGTTTTGGGAGGATTGGCCGTAAAGCATCTTTCTGATGGGCCAAGAGTTCTGGAGGGGGTAGATCTGTGGCCGAAAAAGAGGCGAATGCGTGTGGCTTCAGCGGAAGTGAGATGACCAAGCACTCCCAACCTGCTCTGTGGCAGATCTAGTCGCAGATCTCTGGCGCTATGACGCCATCCTGAAGATTCTGTCATGAGCATCCGACCAAATCCAGCACATAGCTAAAGTCGCAGTCAGAGTTTGGACCACCTGCAGAAAAAAGAAACCAGATGCAGGCATCGTCCAATGTCTCCGAAATCCCGACGCCAGATGGTGATCATTGAAATGAATGAGGACCAAAATCGTCAGCGTCGTAGACCGCCGTAGACGACACGCCCCTGCACGACTTCATCACGTCCCGCCGTCCTCCGTCCGAAAACGTCCTGCCGAACACGTTCTCCAGACCTTGGGCGGCGGCATCTTCGACCTCTTTGACCAGCGGATCTTCAGCAGCTTCCTCCGAAGGCGGAGAAGCTCCGTAAGCTCCGTCGGTGCGGTCGGTGCGAGAGCGGGTTCGGAGCGGGTTCGGAGCTGCAGGTGAACTGAAGAGGTTCTTTGAATGAAAAACCATGACAGACAGGGTTCTTTGGGGGGAGTGTGAGGGGTCGTTGTCAGTGGATGTTGTTTAGGTAGATCACTGCGACAGGCCTGGGATTGAACTTGAATGACTTGAAGTCTGAAGCAACATGAAGAAACCAGAGACAAGGGAAACACCGATGTCTATTGGGCGGGCTCGGGGGAGAATGTTTGAGGACTGGTGGGTGAAGGTGTTCTGGAACGCAGGGACGCAGGATATCTCGACTGAATCAGAAGATATACGAGATATAGATATTTTGTCCATGCCATCTCAACCGTTTTTCCAGGGAGCCATGTAGCCTAAGGAGACTCGGCATGAGAGCTTGTGCTTGTGGAGCTCGATCCATACTCGATCCTCGATCCTTCTTGTGCGCCGACTCTAGAGGTCCTGCTGAGGGTGAGTGGTCTAAGACAAGGAGGTTCACCAGGACTGAGACTGCCAGCTAGCAATGAAGGTGCCAACTTTCTGCGCACACGTCAAGTTGCTGATGAAAGAAGCTCCTGAAGCTTTCCTTGACGCACACTCAGGGCCCGACTTGGTTCTCTACCTGTCATGCATGAACGACCATCTTTGGTCATCAACCAGCATGACATGGCAGGTGCCATGACCGTCCATGGCAGATGCAGCCGTGCCATATGTTTTTCTGTTGAGATTCTGGCTCTCCAGTCCGAAGGTTGATGACCCCCCTCCAGTCCGCCAAAGGTCGATGATGTCGATGCGAACCGTGCATTTTTCAGTCCAAGAGATGTGAACCTTCTCACGGCGGCTTGCTATGGACATTCTCCCTGAGTCCCTGGGTCCAGATGGGTCCGGATGTAAACGGAACGGTTTACCCGGCGTATGCACGAGCTGCGTCTCTCGGCTCGCCAGGCGTCTTGAAAGCGGAGAATGCGTTTCGCACATGGAGAACCTGACTTACGGCTCCAGGCCTGGAATGTCACATGTGGATCAGGTTCACTATGTCTATATAGTCTATTACTGTACGACCCCTGGTAGCCCTGGAAACGAAGAAACAAATCGAGTTGTCCATGGAGAATGCTGCTGGTGTTGTGCACCAAACTGTGCACAGCAGCAAGATGGAGCCTCTCAAACCTGGAGGTGTTGAACCGTTGAGGCCTGACTTGCTTGATTTATAGGATAGCCCAGAGAGTCCCAGGGGTATCCTTTGCACGTGCTTTGTTTGAAAACCTAGAGTTACTGGGATAGGCTATAGGGTCATCTCAGTGGTCATCTCATGTCACCGAGCGATTGGTACCGCCGCGGTTTTGGGAGCGAGAAGCGAAGGTTCACGGCGGCGCAGGAGTGAGAACACGGGGACGGCACGGGGACGGCAATGCGTTGAAGGAACATGTGGAGTCCTGGGGAAAGGCGGATTGATGGAGATGTGAAGTGACAAAACCTTGATGAACGCATCATCACAAGAGCGAATATAAATCATGTTCTTGATCGGTTGAACAGATTTGTTGATGATGATCGTGATCATGATGATGATGATGATCATCATCATCATCATCATCATCATCCAAAGTCTCCTGACAAAATGGCTTTGCTGTGGAGTTTGGGGGATGCTTGAAGCATCTTGAATCAAGAAATACGCTTCACCAATGGGCACCAACTTCAGCGCAATAAAGGCTCTTCTTTGATTAGGAAGAAAGATCCATGGTACATCCATGGTACATCCGAGGAATGCAGAAAGTTGGCAATGAACATCACTATGCCCACCACCTTAAGTGACAGGCGGAACCGGACACCTTTACCCCTCCTCTTCCCTCTGCGCACGTCGCTGTGCGCGGTCTCCTCTCGCGCAGTCTCGCGAGCCGCGAGGTGGCGAAGCCCTTCCGGCCAATCGGGCGAGTGGTCCGAAAACCCCTCCATCCGACCCTCGGAATGGTGCTTTCCAACACAGCGGACGCGTCGTGACCGAACGGTGCACGGAGGGTCAGGTGACCGGAAGGGTCACTGACCGTGCGGTGAATCCGACCGTGAGCGGTTTGGGTTTTGGGTCTTGGGGTCATGTGGAAGGCCAAACAGATCACACAAATTCCTCCAGAAAGCAAGCACAAAGACGAGTGTGCAATATATTGTGCAACTGAGTTTGATCATAAGATCGATCATATTATAAATTGTTTCTCAGCTCCTCAGTTTGATGGTGTGTGCTTCATCCGGCACATCCGGGCACATCCGCCACATCCAGTGCTCTCAGGAGTGCTTCATCCGGACGTCATCGCCCACGGTGGAAGCTTCTTCTGGCTCCGCTCGTGGCGTCGGCGGCACCTCGAAGCTCCTCCTGCTGCATGTTCGCAGAGATGAGATGTGGAGAGGGATGACTGATCACCACGGGGGGGGTTCTTTGTAGGTGAAACCCATCGTGAAACCTTGGGGTTTCACCATGGATCTCCACGGTATCTGGGAGAGACATGGGTTCAAACCATCAACACCCCCTTTGGGTGGCCGGAGTGAAACCCACGGGCCCTGGGACTCGGAGCGGCCCTCAGTCGATTTCAGGTCCGCTGGCGTGGCGCTTGAGATGTTCAGGTGGGCCCCCCATGAGGTGGTTGTGTTTGTCTGACCTGTAGAGCTGCCAGTAAACAATGATCACTATGTTTGAAGGCCTATACTAACCATCATCATCCACTGAAACCAGGTAGATAGGATAGATTGGAAGATTCTGAAGGATGAGCTCTACCGTGCTCGCTTGGGCGACTGAGAGCTGAGAGGCTTAATCTTCGGGCTCCCAAAAGGGTGGTGAACCACCCAGGCAAATGGCTCAGACTAGTCGCCTCACTGGATGACGACGAGTATAGGTAAGAGTTTGATAGGATGGGGGCGAGTCGTCATGTGCACGGCTTGATACAATCCTGTTTAAAAGCAGATCATCATGTCGACATGATGTATGTGTATACTGCTTTGTGGTGGTTACATGATGAGCATGTTATAGCTACACTCTGAGTAACTAACATGGAAGTGGAAAATGGTCCTTTGGAAGACGACTTTCCTTTACGAATGGGGGAGTCGGAGTGTATATGTTTGAACACCCTCTATCTTTTGAAAAGAGTAGTTTGGAGCGCCGGTGCAGGTTGTGAGACATTCCATTACAACCGGCGCCGGTTGAGGTGGCGCATGCAAACTTTGGCCGAAACAAGCAGTACTTCTTGCGCGATCCTTGGCAGATGGTTCCCTTTGGGGTTTGGAATGGTTTCGATGACCTTTTCCTAGTGGTTGGATGATTGATAGAGGGGATACAACAGTGAAGCTCGTGTACAAGCAATAGGGGTCAATGCCGCCAGACCGACCCCTCGATGTTTCTCAAAAAGGACATCGTTCACATTGAATGTTCAACATCATGAAACCATGACCCCACCATGGTTCTCCAAAGACCGACCCCGTCGCGTCGCCTTCGGCATGGTTTCACCGCGCAGTCGCCATGCTTTTCGGTCGCCTTCGCAGCGAAGGGAGCCGGGAGAGGTGCTGGAGGGGAACACATGTGGTCCGCCAGGCCTATGGGAAGCAAAGGGGAACACATGAAAACAGATATTTGTTTATAAAATGTTATAAACATGACAACATGCGTGATCATGATGGATGCAGACACCTTCTTTACGGATCAGCTGCGGATCTCGGCCATCAGGATCGAGGCCTTTGGTTCATCGAGAATCTCACGGAGCGGTTTCGGGAGCCCGTGCAGTATGACGAGTACTACCCACCAGCAACCTGGCCGGGATGAATAGGGTTTTAGGTGTGCCGGAATGTCGGTTTCGAGAGGGTGAGAGGGGGACAAGAAGAGAAGAAACATGATTGAATTTGTGGTTTGGTTCACTGTTGTTTCTCATGATCCGTACAGTTTGATGATCCGTTGGTTCGTTTGCTGTTGTTTTCCTGGACGAAGATTGTAGCGGGTTGTAATCCATGGAAACTCGGAGTTACTTTGCAGGCTCTTCTTCCAGAAGAGCAAGACGAGACCATCCGTGTCGATGACGAGAACGACACGTGGCGGTTCCTGCTTTACGAACCACGTGGCACCTCCACGTGTTCGACGTGGAATCTTGATCCATTGGCTTGCGACTTGGCGGTCGACGGAGAGCGGCTTGACGTCCACAGGTCCGATGGCTTTGCGGTCCAGAGTCCAGACCGGTTCATGCGAGCGCGTCAGTACGTAGATGTGAAGGAATCTGCATGCGGATGACCATGGCTTGTGAGTTGAAGGCAGAAACTCAATGAAATTCATGGTGATGTGTGGATTGACCATGCAATTATCAGAATAGATATCCACAACTCGTGTGGCAAAGGGAACATAGACACCTACCGTATACTGTATGCCTCGGGTGTGTAACCCGGTAAACCAGTAACAGTCAGTAAAAGATTGTCACCTATTTTAGTAAAGCCTAAGATTGTCACATCATCATCCACTGAGGCCCTGATCATGGGATATACCCAACGTATACTACCGAGATACGTAATATTGGTCGATGTGATTGGTTCTTTGGACTGTGAAGAGGTTCTTTCCTCATGGCTAGGACATCAACCTTGCATGACAAGGTCACGGATATGTCGTGGATATGTAGGGGTGAAAGTATATAGCACCTGCGTTTTCTTTGTTGGAGGTGTGAACACATGCCATTCATGCCATGCCGACCATGAAAAGCTGGTGGAAAATGACTCTTCCCGCCCTCCAAGATGTGAATGACTCTTCCCGTGAGCGACCGGTACTGGTGTAATTTGTATGAGGCTGTTTTCATGGGTGTCCCGTCCTTGTTTTTGTGACCAACCAACAGAAGGCTGGCTGCCATGGCCTTCCCTCAAGTGGTGATGGGGGTCCAAGGTTGTGAAGAGGAAATCTGCCGGGACGCAGGACCTTGACACTGAAAAGGCTGTCGAAACCCAAAAAATGTTCAACAGACGGAGATGTCGCTCCGCCAGAAAGATGCTGTGAGTCCCAACGGCTCACAAATAGTCCCCAAACCGACTAGCAATCGGTCAATGGAAAACATCACCCTTCGATCGCCACGTTCGATCCACACGGGGTTTCACGGCATTCGGACGCAGGCATCATGCTAACTACGATCTTCCAACTGTGCAGAGTGTCTGGCCTTTTCATCAATAACAGCAGGCAAGTTCGGCAAATGTTGAACAGGTGGGAAGATCCAGGATCTCCCGACGTTTCGTCCGGTCCCTCGACTTCACGAGTGAGTGAAACGTGGAGAACGTTCCGAACGTGACAGGTCAGTTCCTCGACTTGGCGGCGGCCCTCGAAGTGGCCGTCCTCCTGAAGCGTCGCCTCGTTTTGCCGGACGCCTTCGATTGCAGTGCCCTCGCCTGGAAGACGTGGAATTCAGGCGGTGTCGATGGCAGAAGTCAAGTGATGTCGTGGGGCTTGACCGCACCTTGAGTGGCAAAGTACGGTAGATTCGAAGTTTCATGAAGTGTCCATTGTTTCCTCCAAAGACGATCGAAGAGCACTATAGGCCTGGTCAACCCTGGCTACGAATTAATGTTCACAACCGCCCAGAAGGGAGATGTAACTTCGTTTGCCATTAGTTTCTACCTGAGGTGAACTGATAACCTATTTTCAACCTAAACTTCAGCAAGACTGAATTGCAAAAAAAAACTGGTCAGCCCGGTCAACGAGGCAACGAGGCGTGTGAAACGGCATGTGCCGATAGAACCACAGTGTCTCCATGTTTCAGCAGTGCAATCTCAATGGTTTCACTGGTACCTTGCTTTTCTGACACCCAGTTCCTATTTGGAAGACACCCACTTATACATAGACGTTCCTTTTTGCTGGTGGCATTTTTGCTACTTGGTCCTGGATGAGGGGTAGGCCCGAACTCATTGATCCCAAAAGTGGCCATGAGAGGATTGGAGAGGATTGGCGGAGAACTCGTGGTGTTCTTCCCGAGTTCTTCGGCACTGGCCATCGGGGATCGGATGTGTTGGGTGCTGAAGCAGACACTGGGTGATTCTCTCACCGGCGCCACGTTAGGATCACGCGCCGGTCCTGGACGCGTAACGGCGTTCTTCGTGGTCTCGTCCGTCGGCCACGGTGTGAACTCTTCGGTCTCTTTGGGCGAACCCCACAACGAAGACAGAATGGAAGCAGGATCTGTTGAGCCCATGACCAACTAGATCATTGACGTAGCTGGGAATTGTTTGGTTGTGGTTGCCTTTTTTTTCCTTCTGCACTGGACCATCAGTCACCCTCCAAAACCTCCACCCGTCCCCCCCAGAAAACAAGACAGACACAACACAACAATGGACGCGGACGCACGAGGCTTGCTGCCGATGTGGGACGCCTACGGCATGTCGTCCACCTTCCAAACTCCGCACGAAGGCACATCGCACTGAACGACCGTAACTCCGGAAAGGTGGCTTTTGAACCTCATGGCAGGTCAAAAAGCCCCCATGGCACGCTGGAATTGTTTTCTAGGACATTCGTCGACGCTTTCTTCTGGATTGAGTCTGTTCGTGGTTCGGTTTGAACATCCTCATGCTTTGAGGCCAATTACAACATGCAAGCATGTCATTGGTGCATAGTATTAAACAATATAGTAAGTACACTACTAGTATTAGTAGGTTTCCCTGTGCTTGGATAATTCGATGCCACTGAGTGCGTGCTTTCTATTGCAACACCCTGGTCCCAAAGCCAAGGGAGTGATGCGGCATGGTGTTCCATGTGTTGGGAAACGTGTGAGCAAAGTCAATTGGGCGGTCAATGGTTTGGTTGCCGAAACACCAAACACGAGACCCCAACATAGTGATTGTAGATGATACAGAAAGTTTGAACAGCTGCTTTGACACAATCGACCTGTTTTGAGCGTTTCAACCAGCGCTGCAGGGTGCACCTTCGATTACTTTGCCGACGCCGAAGGTGCCTGCAGAGCAGTTGGTGTGACGTTCACGAATCTCAAGAATAACTCGACCAAAGTGTAGATGAGGCTGTTTCTGGTAGACTACAGTCTACAGTTGCCACTGTAGAAGGTGCATCAAAGAAGATAGGTTTCTCGGGATCAAGGTCGAATGGATCGAAGATTATCGAAGCAAAGTCACTCAATATGTATCGAGTTGGGTTTTTTTGGGGGGTTGAGTCTTTGTCCGGAATATCTTCCTCCTTGTCATTCTCATGTAGTGCATGAAATCTCATGCATTTCTATGCATTTCTCTTGGTTCATTCCACTTGACACATTAGTCTAGCCTTGTTTTCTTGCACTACGTCGAAGCTGTAAACAATGATCTCATGTTTTGAACTGCTGGTTCAGAGAGGTTCTTCCTGGGAGGCATGCCCATCAGATGCACCTTTCGGGATGAACGGAAAATCCGATCCTTTGCATGCTTTGGCGATGGATGTCTTTGGGTCTTGACATCGCGCCACTCGGAGTGAACTGGAGGTTTCACGAAGCGCTTTGGGCATTTGCTGGTGGAAGCTGGGCTGAAGAAGAGTCCGGACTTCCTTCGGCTCCAAAAGGCCAGCGCACATCTCGGACGGGCCCCTTGGACTGAGCAAGGGCGGGCCGGCAATCCGGGCGGGAGCCCTGACTACCGCCTCGGAGGACGTCATCCGAAACGAGCCGCCCCACAAAAGGTCGATTCCCGGATGTTCCTCCCGGGCTCCACTCGATTCATGTCGATTCGTTGTGAAAAAGGCTTTGAACCTTCACCACACCACTCGGGAGAAGGGTGATCCTTTCCTTTCGTCGCCTGGCTCCTCCCAAAGAGGAGCGAAGTGTCTCCAGTGTTGCAATGGAGATTACATCTCTCTCAGGTGCGACTCTTTGCCAGCTTCATGAGGAGGAATTGGGCCGCATGGTGGCGAGTGGAAAGACGTTTCTCGATCTGAAGATCCTCTTGGCCAATCAGATCGGACGCTCCAGATTTCGACAAAGACTCTTCACTGAAATGGGCGAGCTACAGGATGATATGCCCCTCACAGGACTACCTAGTGTGCAGTTGGTGATCCTGGACTTTTGTACGCCTGAAAAGGCCGTTTGGGATAGACTACTCCTTGCATGTCGGGAGAATCAAGATGCTGAAGTTGCAAACTTGCTAAAGACACCACTGAATCCAGATGGGAGATGTGCACACAGGGACTCTCCACCGATTTGGCATGCAGCGCAACAGGGCCACTTGGAAGTGGTGAGATTGTTGCTCGAGGCTGGAGCTGACATGAATGCAGCAAACACAGATGGGACAACAGCGTTGTTTGTTGCAGCAGAATGGGGCTACTTGGAAGTGGTGAGATTGTTGATCGAGGCTGAAGCGGACATGAATGCCAAAGACGCACATGGGGACACAGCGTTGTTAGTTGCAGCGATGCGGGGTCACTTGGAAGTGGTGCGGTTGTTGCTCAAGGCTGGAGCTGACATGAATGTGGTAGACACAGATGGGGCAACAGCTTTGTTTGTTGCAGCAGCGCATGGCCGCTTG